GTGACACTGAAATATTTCTATAGCTCTGTTTCTGTTCTGTTTTAGATCAACAGCCTTAGAACAGTCTTCATTAACATCTACAAGATATTTTTACTTCAGGCTTACAGGTAGGTCACTGTCTTCTGCTGTAACTCTGAATATTTCATTACTCTCTCTTGACACATGGAGGAGCTGTGGATTAGGAAAAAGTGTGCTGTATAAGTGTGCAGTGGCAAATGTCGGTAGTAAGTCATGTTATTCTTGTATCAACACTGTTCTTACGTAATATTATTAGATTCAGGATACAAGATTATATTGATGTGTGTGTTTAAGTGACACTTCACTAAATGGATTTTCAGCATCTCTTGATATTGACAGCTGACCTTGAGAAAAGCGACCTGTTTTGCTTCAGGAGGATGACCAGAAGCCTTATTGCTCATTAACCAGTTTATATTTAGAACTTTGTATCTATTAAAAACGTATAGAACTTTGACCTGTATAACTTTACCTAAAGTGAGGTTTCATTCTGCCAAGTTAATTGTAGGTTCTTAGCTGCTGATAATGTCTTAATTGCTCCTTAGCTGGTAATATCTTGATTTTTGTGAGCTATTCTTGACCAGCAGAGTAAGAAGAATGTTTTAAACAAGGATAAGGGAAAGAAATCCAAACTGATAGGCAAGTTGAGAGAAAATAGTAATCTGTACATCAAAAACTTTGAATGATTGGCAGCACTAAGTAGTTGTTTGTTTAGTGTTTTAATGCAGAAAAGGTATGAGAGGTGCTTCCCTCTTTACAGAAGTCAGGTGTTGCTCTTTTGCTAGACTCATACGTGTTAGGAAGTGACATTTTAGTTTTGTTCTTAAATGCAGCTTAGTCCACATTCACTCTGTATCGTTCTGTGTCCAAGAAGTGTAATTGGACTTGTCTAGTACACCACTGATGTGTCAGACTCTTACACTGTGTTTTGAGTGACTTACAGTTTTTCTACTTAGTTACTTCTGTTTGCTTTTATGGTAACACTCTAACGAAGGTTTTTAATGTTAGAGTGCCTTTAAAAAACTGTCCACCATGCTAACAGCATGTCAGCTTAATTCAGCCAGAGCTCTGTGATACAGTGTGGTAATTATATTTATCCTTTAAATATTTTAAAATTTCAGAATTTCTTGAAGTGATTACGCTTATGCTGGGTTAATTTAATAAGCAAGTATATATATTGTTGAGTAATTTAAAATCAGCATTGTAGTTGTTGACCATATTCAGCATAAGCAGGATTATAACGCCAGAGTCTGAAGAAAAAAAAAAAAGCCGGCAGTTTTAAAATACGTCCAAACTGAGGTGTAAGGGAGCATACAATGCAAGTAATTTCATAGAATTGGCATCCAAATAGGCAAAAGAGTGGGGATCCTGGTCTGTGGAACATGATGTCATTTGGAGGTCTGTTTTCCTGAATTCCTGAACAGAATTTGTTGTGGCATTTGGTTTTGTTTTGGTTTTTCTTCCTCTTACACTCTCATGTGGGTGTTCACTGGCTGCATGGTCCATGATATGGAATTGGTGAGAATGTGTGGTTTAACTTTCTCTGCACATAGAACAGTCATTGTCCTCACAAAAGAATTCTGTTACTAAGGCAGATGGCTTCAAGATCTTTCAGGACAGAATTTACAAACAAACATCATATGTGTCTGATATGCCAGGGATATGTATATACAGGAGAGATGTAGTATGCTAACAGTGTTGATATAGCTAAAAACTCTTGGGTGCTTTTAAATGTTGTATAGTGCCTAAGGTATGTAATCATAGTTTCATTTAAAATTGCAAATGACTCATGTCGTCATTTAACTCCAGCCAGCAGCTGAGAACCACCCTGCTGCTCGCTCACTCCTCCCCAGTGGGATGGAGGAGAGAATCAGAAGGGTAAAAGTGAGAATTTATTATATCTCAACTCATGGGTTGAGATAAAGACAGTTTAATAGGTAAAGCAAAATCCACACACACAAGCAAAGCAAAACAAGGAATTCGTTCACCATTTCCCATCAGCAGGCAGGTGTTCAACCATCACCAGGAAAGGAGGGCTCCATCACACATAACAGTTACTTGGGAAGACGAAACACCATAACTCTGAATGTCCCTCACTTCCTTCTTCTTTCCCCAGCTTTATATGCTGAGCATGACGTCATATAGTGTGGAATATCCCTTTGGTCAGTTGGGATCAGCTGTCATAACTGTGTCCCCTCCCAGTTTCTTGTGCATCCCCAACCTAATCAGTGGTGAGGTGGAGTGAGAAGCAGAAAAGGCCTTGACTCTGTGTAAGCACTGCTTGGCAGTAGCTAAAGCATTCCTGTGTTATCAGTACTGTTTCCAGCACAAATCTAAAACATAACCTCACACTAGCTACAATGAAGAAAATTAACTCTATCCCAGCCAAAACCAGCACATTCTTCACCCTTTATTCCATACCATTTGTGTCATGCTCGGATCCCACACTATCCAATACATCCTCCTTACTCACCACCTCCCTTCCCACCCTTTGATATAGTACACAGATATCATTCCCCTACTCTACGGACCACCTTTGTGAAATGTCTGTAAAATATCCACAAAATGTCCTCTGAGTTCACTTAGTCCATGACTTTGGGCTCCCATCTGTTATGGTGGTCACTCAGGACAGGAGAGGTGGTGTGTTGTGTGAGATCATTGGGCACCAAAGCCAGCTCAGGTCAGCATTGCTTCCTGTCAGGCTTGTCCTCCATTGGTTCAGGTAATTCCTATAACATGTAACTCAAATTCAGGGTTACAACAATTTGAAGGTATTTCCGTTACAGTTTTCACCCCTGGTCCCTTTGGGCCAGTCTACAGAGCTTAACGTTGCAGCGAACTCCTCCCTTTGCTTCTAGCCGGGTTAGCAACAAGGGGTTCCTGCTGTAGCAATTCCCATAACTCAGATCCTGGATTACAACAATTTAAAGGTATTTCCATTACAATCTCCACCCCTGGCCCCTTTGGACCAGACCCATAGGGTTTAATGTTGCCATGAACTTGCCCCTGCTCTGGCTTGGACTTATCTACAGACTGCAGTCCCTTAGGGGTGTACTTAAGGGGTACCTCGATGGAGGTAAGTGGAGCCTTATCTATGAGCCACAGCCTCTCCAGGGCTATACCTGCTGTGGCATAGACTTATCCACAACCACGGTCACTTTGAGGTGCACCTGTTCCAGCATGGCGTTATCCATGGGCCACAATGCCTTCAGAGATACACTTGCCTCAGCGTGGCCTTACCTACAGCCACAGTCTCTTCAGAAGTAACCCTGCTCCATCATGGCCTTACCCATGGCTGCAGTCACTCCAGTGGTCTACCTGCTCTGTCATGGGCTTATCCATGGCCACATGCTTTGAGGCACTCCACCATGACCTCACACACAGGCACTGATGCTTCAAGGTGTACCTGCTGCAGCTTGGACTTATCCACAGCCAGAGATGCTTTGAGGTGTACCTTCTCCAGCAAAGACTTATACTTGGGCCACAATCTCTTCAGAAGTATAAATGCTGTGGCACAGATATAACCACGGCCACAGATGCTTCGAGATGTACCTGCTCTGGCACGAGCTTATCCTCGGCCACAGATGCTTAAGGGTGCCCTGCTCCTGTGTGGCTGTACCCACAACTGCATTTCCTTCAGAAGTAACCCTCCTCCAACACGGCCTTACCTGCGGCTGCAGTCCCTCCAGGGGTGTACCCGCTCTGCTGTACTGCTTATCACCTTAATCTACTGCGCCTGGGATCATTTTGATAACAGCAATAGCGATGCCCCTGTGGGCAGGTGCTCCCAGCCTGCTCGCTGGTGCGGTGGGGTGAGAAGCAGAAAAGGCCTTGACTCTGTGTAAGCACTGCTCAGCAATAACGAAAACATCCCTGTATTACTGACACTCTGTCCAGCACAAATCCTAAGTGTAGCCACCTGCTAGCTACCTTGAAGAAAATGATCTCTGTCCCAGACAAAACCAGCACAACTTGCAATTAAACAGGTTGTTTTTGTGAATAGGTTCCACGCCTGTGTTCTCCAACTTCCATTCAACCAGCAAGTTAGAAACAATCCTTATTTCTTCCTAAGGATCATCTCTGAGACTGCATCATGCTGCTATTCTATCGTGAAAGCAAAAAACGCAGGTATAGTGTGTTAATGGCTGTGAACCAGCGTGTTTGGGTTTGGGCTTTTCTTTTTTAGACAAATGAAATGTCTGTTATGCACAGTCAGATCATGTCGTGTTAAATAAAGATCAAGAAAATGGAGTGTGTGATAGGAATCACAGTGTGTTTTTTTTCCTTAAACTCAATTTCCTGAAAATGCTAAATTGTTTTAGTTTTCAGTCCTCTGCTGGCATAGGAAACTTCATTGACTGCATAGATTTTTAGTAAAATGTCTTGGAGTGATTTTGCAGAAAGAGAGGAGGGGTCAGACGTACTTTTTAATGCTCATAATTTTCAGTGATGTCATTTTCCTGTTCTGTCTCTAGGAGTTGCTTTAGGTAACAAGGGTGCATCTGGTGTGTTCCCTTCTGAGGCAGCAGAATGGCTCTGCTACCATGCTTTCACTGTCAAACTGGCAAACCACAAAGTTGTTTACAAATGCCTGCTTAAGCCCCTAAAAATCTGTAAGTATTTGATTATTTTTACAGTTTGAAATACGGCTAATTGTGATAAAACTTGGAATCTAATGGATTTTTAAAAAATTTTCTTATCATAAAGTATTGTTCTGAAATGCACGTTAATGAGCTTTCTGATTTTAATCAAATTTACTAAGTATTAAGTAGACAAATTAAAACAGTATGTTTTACAGCACTGCGTGTTCTAGAGCCTTGTTCTGAAGGGACAGCTATTGATGGTTGACACTCAATGTGTTTGTACAGTTCAGAAAGCTAAATAGGGTTGGGTTAATCATACAAGCATTCTCAGCAGCTTTAAACGAGATACGAATACGCAGTTTTCTGTTTTTGAAAATGTAGATTAACTGGCAATTAGGTAAATTCCTCCTGCAATGTAAACTCTTACCAAAACCGTGTCGTGGGGGTCACTTTGAAACAGAAGCACGTGCTGCGCTGCATGTGCTGTATTGTAGTAAAGTTGAGTGGTGTTGGCAGATCTCTGACTCTTCTACTTTATGAAAGAAGCTGCCTGTGTACCTGGCCTCTGAGGAGCTCTCTCTTTGAGCAGTTGTGTGGTCTGTCCTCAGGCGAGCCACAGAAATAATAGAATTTTCAGTTGTGAGATATTAAAAGTGACCAGCAGGAGGTTTTTCTGAAGCGGTCAGTGTTGTTGTTGAATTTAGCTGCAGTGAAGGCCGGTCTCTCAAACACTGGCTCCGTAATTCACGCCCTGAATGAATAATTACTTTGGGTGGGTTTATTATACAATACTGAGAAATTCTTCAGCCTGGTTCCAGGATAGCCACTATTTGATTTTATATATATTGCAAGCTGCCCTTGACACTTGTGCTGAGGCTCAGTGCCCCAAAAAGAGAGCAGTTCTTTTGGAAGTAAGAATTTCCCTCCAATATCAAAGGCTTACAGCAATGGCTGAGTGCAAAACTCTGACTTTTGATGGTGCAGTGTGAATGTATCAAAGATGATGCTTAAACGTTTACAGGAAACAAACTGATGGTTGAGACTGCACCGGGTGCGTTCCTGACAGTTGTGGACTTTCTGTATGGAGATCCAAGATCCATACAGAGCACATTTGAGTTTTCATCTCTAGTGCTGAAGGTTTTGTTCTTGGAATCTTTGGCTGGCAGACCATGATCCAAGCCAGAGCTCCCTGTACCCGCACCGCCCCTGGCCTAATCACACTACTGACCCGAAACTTGTGTGTGGTCCAGGCATAGCTCTGTAGCTTCCCAAGAAGGGAAAGCTGACCAGCTATCAGTTGGCTCCTCTGGCAGTAGGAATTGACCTTGCAGAAATGGAATAACCTTGCTTCCTAAGTTAATGGGAAGAACTATTAGTGTTATACTTGCTGAGTATTGTGGGGTGGAGGAGGAAAGGTCCAAAGGCAGGCATGTTCTCTTTAAAGAGAGTAATTTCCAGCTGTTCTTTCATAAGTGTTCTCTGAGGCAGAATGTGTTCTTCACATCCATGATGTCAAGATAGCTCTCTGTTTTATCTAGAAGGCCCAGTTTCTTTTGGAAATATCTGAGACTTGAGGTACACTGCTGGAAGATCAAGGGTTCAGAGATTTTTGCTTAATAGCTACCTAAACAATTACAGGCTGTGACTTGTTTTTACCGTGAAACTTTTAATATGGAAGCTTTTGCTCTTATTAGTCAAGAGATCACTGGTGCCCAAGCAACTTGAATGCCACGAGAGATCTGCCTTTGCTTATAGCCCCCTAAAGTCTCACCTGTACTTCTGCTAGCGCTGTTCCACCTTTGCTGTAAGGGTTGATAGAATACTTGGTGGAGCACTTCTGTAGTTGCTGTTTTTGTGAAAAGCCCCCAAAACATCTGCTAGGTAATTTGGCAGGAGGGTAGCTGTTTGGGATCAGCTTGTTGTACAACTTAAGTACTTACCAGTGACTGTAATTTTGAGAGGTGCTTTGACTGCATGTAAATTCGCTTCCGACCTGCCCTTCTCCTTTGAGTTGGTTGAGGTTTTAAAAATAATTTCAAATTGTTTTTGAAAAGGAACGGAGAAGGCACCAGATGCCCCACTTAGGGACTGAGCAGGAGGGAAGGTGAGACATCAGTGTGCTGTACAAAGACGTCTTGTGATCTGTAGTGATAAGTCATATGCGTACGCTTGATGCGAACGTGCATCATTATCTCCATGTCTCCAAGATCTCTGATCCATAGATGAAGACTATTTTTCAGTCACCTGATTGTACGTGGTGTTTATATTTGTATCTTCTTCCAAATGTAGTAAGATACTAAGTCTACCAATCCTGCAGGAACTCACAAAAATCCATTTAAAGAGGCACTGATAGATACTTTTCTATTTAGTCTTGTAAGGTAGTTTCATTTGACCTGCATCATATTTATTCCTGGGTAACGTTGTTGTAATCAGAACATCATGCTGTAGAGAAGGTTACCACAGAGTTGAGCATTATGTAGAGATACCAGAGCTAGTTTTAAACACTGTGTTTTAAGTTCTGTCTTACTTCTGGAAAACAGGAAATGTCAGAGTAGCTGTGACAGGGAAGTGGCTGGCTCTCAGGTGTGCTCCTGTAAAGTTAGTTCACTATCTCTGTGTAGCACAGAGATAACCAGGGCTGGTAATAGCGCCTGTGTTGACTTAACAGCTACGCTTTTTGTTGTCATTTTGGAGTTTGTATTGGCTATATAAAATCTATTACCCCTATAAGATCACGTTGTTGACACGAATTGATACAAACTTCATTTTTTTCTGGTGTCCTTGCACATGCCTTTCCATTACTGTCCGCGGAAATCGATATCAAGCTCATAGGTTTTGGGGAGGAGGTTCTTCCTACTGTTCCAAAACCTGTTAAATATCAATGTCAGGGGCTTGTCAGTACAAGTTGTTGTAATTCTTCAGAGTTAGTGTTTAAAACACAGTTACTGTTTAACATCCCTCCTATTATTACGAGTGGGGAAAGGAGCAGCTGAGAAGATATATAAATACATCATCTGTCTCCTTTCCAAACACTGAACTAATGTTTATTGAGCACTTCTGCTTTTCTGCACCATTGACAATTTTTCCAACTCTGTTTAGGTAACGGACTTAAACTGTTGCTAGGATTTTACATGTTCTTCGTAATCTTTAAAAGTCCTTTTTATTGTCTGTAATTCTGTTGATGATATGCTTAATGACTCTCTCTGTTTCAATGCTGTTATGTCCTCTTATAAAAAATTTCATTCCTGATTTAAGAGCCTTGTTTAGTCTCCAGAATTTGCCACCTTAAGGGTGGCTTTCCAGTTAACCTCTCTTCTCTTATAAGAAACACAGCGGAAAGAATTGCTGTTGCCAATGTTATAGCAAAAGGCGCATTTTCCACATGATTTTATTTCTTTTAATTTTTTTGTATATGTCAGTTAAAAACATAAACTACTTTGTTATATCTGAAAGTAGAGGGGAAAAGAAACAGTTTGAGAATACCTTCTTGCTGTAGGTAAACATGAGCAATCAGATAAGGACCTATCCCTTGTCCTTAGCATTGTTTAAAATAGTCTTTCAAAGTAACTATGGTTTGACAGAAGGTCTTTTTCAGAGGATATAGTTATTGAATAAATGGTCTTATATTTTTAAAAAAAAAAAAATAAAATTCTTAAATCATAGAATGGCGTAGGCTGGAAGGGACCTTAGAGATCATCTCATCCAACCTCCCTGTCATGGGCAGGGACGCCTCTCAACTAGATCACGCTACTCAAGGCTCCCTCCAACCTGGCCTTGAACACCTCTAGGGAGGAGGCATCCACAACTTCTCTGGGCAACCTATTCCAAAGTCTTACCACCCTTGTACTGAAGAATTTCTTCCTAAGATCTAATCTAAATCTGTTCTCCTTCAACTTAAACCCATTTCCCCTTGTCCTATCAGTGGACACTCTTGTAAAAAGTCCCTCCCCAGCCTTCCTGTAGGTTCCCTTCAGGTATTGGAAGGCAGCTATTAGGTCCCCTGAAGTTTTCTCTTTTCAAGTCTGAACAATCCCAGCTCCTACAACCTGTCCTTGTAGCAGAGGTGCTCCAGCCCCTGGATCATCTTTGTAGCTCTCCTCTGAACATGCTCCAACAGATCTATGTCTCTCTTGTGGTGGGGACACCAGAACTGGACGTGGTATTCGAGGTGGTGTCTCACAAGAGCAGAGTAAAGGGGGAGAATCACCTCTCTTGACCTGCTGACCTCGCTTCTCTTGATACATCCCAGGATGTGGTTGGCCTTCTGGGCTGCATGAGTGCACTGCCAGCTCATGTTGAGCTTCCCAACAAATCCTTCTCTTCAGGGCTACTCTCAACCCACTCTGTGTCCAGTTTGTATTTGTGCCTAGGATTGGTCCGACCCAGGTGAAGGACCTTGCGTTTTGACTTGTTGAAGCTAATTAGCTAATTAAATCCAATTAGAGGAGTGTTACAAGGACATAGTAGGAGGAATTTGCTCCTTGGTTTTCTTAGTTTGTTAATATTTTAACACACAATTTTTAACCTTTTTATTTATTACCTTGATTGTAGTAGCATATTTTATTATAGCTTTTTTTATCTCCATATTCCAGGTGTTCCAACTTCTTAATTAGATTCAGCTGGTATTGATTTCATTACATTTGCCCTAAAACAGAATTGTTAGTTACTTGCAGTAGTAATGAATCGTTTCTTATATTTTGGTAGGTAAGATGCAGCTATTCAGGAAAATCCCAAAGGATACTATGGCACTACTGAAGGCAGTGACAGAACCGTCTCTTTGTCAAGATTTCAAAGCTATCCTGGACTAATGGATTGAAGTTTATTTCATAATTTTTCCAGGTTTGAAAATAAGTGCTGTCTTTAGATGACTTTTCTCTGTAGTTTATTTTGGTGGAGCTGACCAAAAGCGGCTTAACTCAGAAGTTTTCCATGTTTGTTTCTCAGATGCCACACAAGGACTTAAAAAGAGCAGACAATTTTGTTAATACCTTCTTCTTTGTGTTTGCCTGTAAATTCACAGGCTGTTTGAAGTAACTGACTTGATTCCGTTCAGTAATTCCCGTCTTCTTGATGAAGGCATCGTTAAACTATGTTTGTATGAACAGATCTACTTTCTTGTTTCAGTGTGTTGTTTCTGAAGAACTGTTCTTTGCTTTTCTGTGTTGCAGACTATTTCATAATAAATTGTCTGGTTAATTGCAATAACACGTACTTGTCTCCAATACCTTTATTTTATAGTGATCTTTAACATCCTGCCCAGCTGGGTTATGTCCTGAAAGACAGTTACCTGCACGGGGCAAGGGCGTTTCATGGCACTGCCTAGCAAGATGTACAGGTTAGAAATGTTATGCTTTGGAGAACACAACTAATGTATGCCAAAATTTCAGTGTCAAAGCTGACTATGTTTAGTATATGTTCTGTGTGTTTTGACTACTTGGTGATGTTTTTAATACAGTCATACACAGAATGATGGTGGTGCATTTATACCTAAAAACCAAAAGCTCTAGATTAGGTAATATACCAAGTAGATTACTCATCTGTTTGTGTTTCCTCTTTGTTATTTAGGTTTATCTTTGGCTCTGTAATATTACTGAAGTGCTGTCTAGCCCTGCTGTTGGCATGTTGTGCATGGCTGAATTTTGCCCTGTGGCTGCTCTGATAAACCTGCCCATGTTTTTTATTCTCTTCCAGGCTTGTGGGTTGAATTTGCTCTAATGTAGAACTGTTTTATTAGGATTTTGCTGTGTCTGTTACAGGCTAAATAATAGCTGCTGGGAGGTTTTCTCAAAGAAGATGAAGGGTATCTTGCTGGAGCGAAACACAGTGTAGGCAGCGTTACTCAGTAGATTATTTCAAAGGATTGACAGACCACTACCACGCAGGGATTGGTAACAAAGCTCCTAGGAGCCAGATTGCAGTATCGCAGTCTGTCCATTAACATCATAACTCAGTTCAAACTGTCAGAACATACAGAGAGTCAGTCATACACTTGTGGTTTTTCTTCTTTCTATGAAGTGGCACTGTTAAAAATAAAATTTTTAAAAAAGCCAAAGAACAGTTGCTCCTACTAGAGAGCAGATGAAGAACAGCCCAGTTGCTCATCAGCCAGCAGCTCAAACATTGAAAACTCTCGGACCCCCAGAACATTCTGCAGTGAGACTGGTGTGAGGGAACACCATCACAGACAACATCGCACAAGAGAGGCCTTGCAGTGCAGGAAGCTGTATTTTATCGGAGCGTATGGCAGCAAGAGGCAGTGAGATGAGATGCTGCAACGAGGGCCTTGGCAGGGACGAGACTTGAGCACTGGGAGAACTTCCTGTGCTTCGGCTGGAGCTGTTCCTGCCCGTGTCCGTTCACCCTTTACCCAGACTTTCTTCAGCTCCTCATTCCTTCCTACCTGCTTCTCTTCCCCGCTTCTGCTGTGCTGCATATAAGACTTTGTGTAGTCACAGGTGATGGGAGTTGTGACTCTACTGCTTACTGCACAGGCCCTGTGTGTTTTGTGTGTTGTGTGCTGGTGGGCAGCAGTAGGGATGAATGCATGTTTACTTTGTCCTGGTCACTGTGTTCTGCATGAACCTTCAGTGAAGGTTGATGCAGAAGAGCCAGATCATTTCCTGAGAGCCAACAAGCGTGCCTGTTTTGAAAGAACGGTCTGGAATAGGGGCTGGGCAGCCTGAAAGGATACCTCACGAGCCAAGATCCTACAGCACAAATCCATATGGGGAGGATGGGATCCTGGGAAGAGCAGGGAGCCTTTCTGCAATCAATAGCTGTCCTAAGGCAAACTTCCAGGGTGATCAAAAGAGTGTCCTGGATAACTGGGGTAGATAACTGAAGCAAGAGCTGTGCTGAACTGATCAGTGTTTCAGAAAGCATTGCAGATAGGTAGGCTTGGGAGGACTAGAAGAAAACCTCTCTGCTCCCATCGAACAACAAGGTAATTATGAATAGATTTGCTTCTAAGCGTTTGAACTTAGATTTTTCTGTTTGAGTCAAAAACAGGTTTTATTTTACGAGTTTTAATGTTAAAGACAGAAGTTTTTAATGTCATTCAGCATGCTCCCTTCTAGAAAAGGATGTTTCCACCTTAAGGGTCAGAACAACGCGTCTTGTTTCCATCATCATTGCTTCCTTGTGTGTCTTCCAGAGGATGCTCTAATGTGGAGAATGGATGGAATGTGAACTTCACCAATGGTTTGGATTAAGCCAATTTTGCTCTGGAAGTATTTTCTCTGGAAAATTTTGCTCTGGATATATTTTCTACTTAATTGGTATCAAGGTAGTACATTAAACAGCAACTGCTGACAGGAAACGTTTGGGTGGATTGAAAAACTTGAATCTGGAAATATTAAAAGAATTCGTTTAGAGAATTCTGAACCTGTAGTGTGGATTTTTAACAATCATTGGGAAGCTGGGAAAATTGCAAAAGATTTGATGGTTGAGGGGAACGTTAAGGTTGTCTCAGTATTTAGGAGAAGGTAAGTAAACAGACAGAGAGCTAAGCCACTCGGTGTAACTGCACCATGCAACCTGTGCTGCAGGTGTTGCAAAATACTGTGCAAGTCAGTGCTGGAGGCTTTGTATGGGGAGGAAGAGTGATAGGGCTGGAAATAGTTTTTTAGTGTCTCTATGCAGGGCTTGAAGGGAGGAATTTGACAGAAGCCTCTCTAGAGGAAATTGTAGCTTCTGCACACGTCCATCAAACACATCCTTCTCCCCACTGCTTTCTTTTGGAGGGGATTATGGGCTGTGAATATCAACTTGAGGGCAGGTATCGCATTTTGCAACATAGGGAACTGCCTGTGGTCCAGAAGGAACATGCTTTTCTCTCTGCAGCTTTTCTCCATTTATTGTTTTATGATAATTTGGATACTTCCTCATTTATAATGCTGTTGCAATGATCTGTCTGAGGTTTTTTACTCTAATAGGTGATTGAGCTCCTTGTCTTAGGGCTATGGATTCTGCTTAAGGCTGAACATCACTATGTCTGTGTTGGTGTCCTTTACAGATTTACCCCCAAAGAATCCAGGCTGTCCTTAAAGCCTGAACAATTCTAGAAGAGTCTTGTCTGTCAGAACAGTATGAGTTCACAGTGGAGTATTATAGCAAAGAAGATCTAATGGGATATGCAGATAAAAGATTGGGAGGAGAGTGAGCAGAAGTAGAAAGTGCTTAGTATGTGAGACTTAAGACACAGATTCAGTTTCATGTTTGCATGCACATGCCGCTTTCTGAAGTAACAAAGTCAGTCATGCTATTCAAGTAAAAAAAAACGCCTATGAGGTGCTGTGCTTCCTATGAACAGGAAGGGAAAGATTGTAGCACTAGTTTTACTGGAATACAGCTGCAATTTTGGTGCAGGAATTCTAGTAGAGGTCAGATCAGAAGCACACCGAGAACAGGAAAGCAGTGTTCCTGCAAGGGTTGCTCAACACATTTTCTACATGCTTACTTTTACTAAACAGTAACTTCAGCTAGTGCGTTTCCCTGCTGTGAAGTTGTAGTTACTGGAGCTGAAAATTGTCTTCCCCCTGAGTTCCTGTCCCAGGCTGAACTGTGTGTCCGGCGACCCATGAAGTCTCTCTTCTGGTGAATGGGAAGGGGCAGCTCAAAAGTCAAGAAGTCTGGGAGTGCCGTGACAGTGACTCAAGATAGATTTATAGACTTGAAAGTCTTGTTTATGTAGTTGAGTTCTTTTCTGAGCTTATGGCTGCATTAGTTGGATGTGGTTTTTTTAAGTACAGACCTCTGACCAAACACTTAAACCTGCTGCATATACTCTGCAGATATGATTTTTAACGAACGTCTAGCTATCTGTAGGTAGAGACATGAATACAGAGTGTACGCTTTAGTTAATTAAAAATTCTTACTTGTGTATTTACAGCTTTTATGTGAATAGATGCTAAAAATGTTGGGGTTTTTTTATTATTCATTCTTTACGGAAGCCTTTTTTACTCATAACCTTTCAAATTTAATTTGCAACAGGCAGAGTGGCAATTGAAATCTTCCGTGATGTTGTCAACAGCCTGTACAGTGCACAGCTGCAGAACATCAAGAAGACCTTTGCTTAGACCTTTGTGACTTGTGAGGTTTCTGCTAACAGAAGCTGTGTTTCCTTGCTGGGGGACCTGCCCCTCTATTGACTTGAAGGGCCGGGACTGTTGGCAGGCTACCATGAGGAATTGCTGGACATGACACAGACTGTTAGCCAAGTCTATGGCTCTCAGAAATAAAAATATGTGGAGCCCAGGCACTTAACTGTTTTGCAAGTGATACTACTCATCCTACATAGAGTGGAAGAGCCAGGAGGCTCTGGCCTGGCAGCTGCTGTGCACGCAGACAGTTCACCTGTGACTCTTGCTCCAGTGGGCAGAGGCACAGTGTCCTTTTCATCCTCTGGTGAACCCAGTGTGACAGACTGGATGCTGCTCTTTCTAGTACCATCACTGCTCTGGAAGAGTCTTAAGTGTCCAGGCTATGAGGTTGCAACAGCAGCTGTGTGAGAGGGACACTGAGTCTAAAGAAGAAAAATATAAAAAAAAACATCTCTCTCTTTTACCCTGCTCTTTCCTTAAGCAGCAGAGTAAAAATCATCCTCTCTTCCCTCCCAGGCTTACAGTTCTTCCTGTGCTCCTTTCAAGGAGTCAGGTAACTGCCTTTCCTCTGCAGAGTTTGAGTTAATCAATCTTAATCATCTTCACTGCGTGGCCAAATCCCTGTTACCCGTTATGAAGCCCTACTAGTGCGTAGCCTGTCACAAGGCTAAATACTGAAATTGCCTCCATTTTCCTTAATCTTCGTCTTCTTTTCTTGACTCTTAATTACTCAGCTAAAGGCTTTGTCACACCTTATCCTCACATACTTTCCCTTTGTTTTTTCAGAGGCTGCTGATTGCTCAAGTGTCTCAGCAAAAGGAATCTTCATCTCCCCATCACTGCAGAGCGTCCAGGATCTGCAGGCAAGTACAGGAAAACCTGT